ATCACGCGTGAGAACTTTTTTACACGTGGTAACTCGTGAAGATTGATTCGACAAGTATGAATATGAGATTTATTCAGTAGTTTCTCAGGCAAGTTAGCTCAATAGTAGTATCGTAGATTTCTAATCCAAAGTACCCTGATTCGCCTCTTAGTTTGTGGTGATATATATAAAATGTGATATTTTAGAAACTAGTGGTCATACGTGGAAAAAGTTATTGATGAAGTTGCATTGATGAAGACTGCATTATACCTTGACCATGGTGACCATCTATAGTCAGTTGACTATAGATGGTCGGCATGGTCAAGATTTTTCACACGTAATCACGCGTGAAGATTGTTCACTTGTGTACACGCGTGAAGATTTTTCACGTGTGGCCGCGCGTGTGATGTTGTAACAACACGACCAAACCGTCGTGAAACTTCCTGTCTTTACCTACAAAATTTCGTGGAAGTCCAAGTTGACATTTCACGATCCCTCACGCGTGAAAAGTCAATAAAATTTCCCCATGGGAGATGATTAGTATAGAACGTTATCGATATAGTCTTTTTCTATTGAACAATATTTTCTATTTAATTATATTTCTAGAATAGTGTAAATGTTGATGACATAGTGGACAATGATGCTGTTTCTATATTTGATTACTTTTTTAATTGTTTAAATTCAAAATCATCAGTTGTACGGTTAAATGTTTGGCAATGTTTACATTTGATTGTTGATGATATTTCATCAACAGTACCATTTTCATTTTCATCATTAACTACCTCAAATGATTGTGTTTATATTGAAAAATGTTTAACCATAATAAAAACATTTAAATATTTTCAAACAAAGTTATCACCATTAATAAAACGTTCACTAGTGAAAGTCTGTCATCTAGAAACAAATGTCTTGTATTTACATCAGTATACATTATTTATCATTGAAAACAGTGGTTCAGATGATTATGATGTATTATGTGATTTATCTTTAGCATTTATTAAACGACACAACATATTATTATCATTATTAGAGCTGGATAAGGAGAAACAATATGAGTTAACGATTGTACTATTCGAATTTGTTTCAATGTATCTATTGAAAATGTTTGAACAATCCATATTAGATGATTCATTGAAAATTGACAAAAATAACACAATACCCACAACAATATCAACGTTCCCATCATCATCATCATCCAAATGTTATTTATCATTATCTGTTGAATCAACATCAGTTTTATATAATATTTATTTAACTTTCAAAACAAAATATTCTGTTAATGATTTTTCCGTAAATATTTCACAAAATGATGATACATTACCAAAATCTTGTCATATTAGAATAGAATCATGCATTATTGAATTTTTAATTATTTTTTTATCTAATTTTGATTTTGATATTAAAAATGATAATATACAAACAGCTCAAGGATTAAAACACTTATTTTTTCCCTCAACAATATCAACACTACCGCCATGTTTTACATCTATCAAACAGACAATAGCACAAATACCCATTAAACAAAATGAACAGCAGGTAAGGATAGATTTATATTGTGTTTATATTAAAATTAGATTATTGTTGATCAAAAATAAAACTCTACTTCAATCTGAAATCATATTAACTGATGAGAAGCAGATCCCTGTGCATCTGTAATAAAATTTCCACCTCCTTCCACTTTGAAAAAGATTTTCGGCTTCGATTCGATTTTGAAAAAATAGGAACTGATCCTATCTCTAGTGTATATTTTTCTTACATTTTTTCGTCGCATCTCGTTCTTGTCTGTACTGAGTTGTGTTTCCTTTATGTCTGTTAGCAGACTGCTGTTTTATTTTACTATCGTGAAGAAATAATGTCAAAACAGAAAAACTAATTCCATTCAATTTTTTGTAAATTTGATTCGTCGTTTATCTTTTCAAAAATCATCGTAAACGTCTTCAATGTCGAACAAAATTTTTAATCAATTACCAAGAATGATCGATCAGCTGGTGTGCATCAGATCTAATTGTTTACTCATATGGATATGATGATGCATTGTTTTTTGAAAATCGTGTTAAATTTGATTTTACGTAGAAATTTGAGTTACACAAGAAAAAAACAGGAGCAGAACACATCTGTGAAGAGAAATGAGATTTCTGCAGAAAAAATTTCTATTAATGATGATGCTGCCTACAAATGAGACTCTTCCAAAAAAAGTAGATGAAGTAGTTTGATCAATAACTGTATTCTCGATAGATATGATATGCTGAAAATACAGACATCTAAACTGATATGAAATTCAAAGTAAACATTTGAATAGTCATTTTAGCGTGATCTACAGACAAATCAAATTAATTTAGTCTTTAAAAGTTCATGAGTGAAATATCAAAATAAAATCTTAATAGATAAGCCCGCACTCTATGTACTTATCTATACTATTTTAGAATAAGCTCTCTGTTTTTAGACTACAGGAACCATGGTGGATGATGATGAGAATCATTTTTACCCATTTCCGATAAATGACAATAATACGTCCATAGATACGCCAACGACAACAACAACAACAGAAATCACTCGTAAACGCCATCGTTCATCATCTCCCGTTCGTTCGTCAAAATATTTAGTTACATCATCAATTGTACACAATACAATTGAATCTCAACAAAATATATTTATGTCAAATGATGTTCAACATTTTATTTATAAATCAAAAAATAGCGAATTTGTTAAAATATTTGTACAACATGCCAACATTGATACGTGTTTGAAATTAATTAAAACATTTAATGTACCATATGAAAATATTCGTTATGTTTGTTCGAAATTAGATTCTTTACTAAATGAATCGAATTTATCTTTAAAAGAGTTAAATTATTTGATTAAACAATCATCATTTTTATTACCGATTATCAATGCTTGGATTAATGAACAAATGGCAGAGGCTATAAAATTAGGTCAAACATTAACAAAAATAATTGAAAAAAAGAAATTGAAGTGAGTATCTATTCTTTGTTTATTATTTTTTAATAACTGAAAATAAATAAAATTTACTAACGAGGGAACCACCCGAGATGATACTCTCCGTTTTTCTTCGTTCATACCTCAGTTGATAGAGGGCATCGAGCTGACAAAAAGCCTAAATGAGTTTCTGCGGAGGGCTCTTGAAGACCCGGTTTTCTGAAAAACTAGTTTTTCCGAAACTCTAAAACTAACTGAAACCTCTTCTTAATGAGTTGTAATTGTAGCCCGGAAATGTCTGATTAAAATGAGACGTCTCCCAGCTCTACACCACCTTTCTTTGCAAAGTTATAGAGTTTATAAGAAAAGCCCTGAATGTTCATTGTCAGCTCAAAGCTACAGAAGCAAGATAAACTAAATTTAGGGCTTTTCTTGTAAACTCTATAACT